GAAGCACCCCACCTTCCTCCCCAGGGCCGCAGACGGCCACACGCTGCGGGAAGTCGCCCGGCTGAGTTCACACCTGGCTCAGAGGGCCTGTGCCAGGCTCCTGGCCTGGCGGCCATTTCGCTAGTGTCCCTCAGGGGACGACACGGGGCCAGCTGCCCTGGGAAGGACATTGCCCTCCAGGAGGAGGCCCCGGGAGAGGAGCTGCCGTGCGCCCGCGAGGCCCGTGCTTGGCGCGAGCACTGGAGGAGAGGCTGGGTGTGGGGAGCCCCCAGGCAGAGCCAGCCTGGGGTGTGGATGAAGCTGTGCCCCCTTTGGAAGGCAGCTGCTGGGCAGCAGGGCCAGCGTGCCCCTCGTCTGAGTGTTCAGCCCCCACATGCGAGCGCTGCCCGGAACAGACCACAAGGGCCCCCCGCCCCAAGGGGTCCCGCTGGACTGAGGAAGACAGAGACACGTTTGGCCCTGGTGGGGACTGGGCCAGGGAGGAATGAGCAGGCTCGGGGTGGGGGGCGAGGGCCCGGGAGGCTCCCTGAAGAGGTCAAGTTTGAGCAGATCTGCAGGAAGAGAAGGAAGCGGCACCCGTGGGGGACAGTGGCCCGGCAGCCCGTGTGGGAGCTGGGCTGGGGGCGCCGCCTGGGGGTTCCCCCACCCAGGTGAGTGAGTGGGAGGGTTTGGAGCAAACAGAGATCCTGCTCATAGTTTGGGGTCACTTGTTGCCTCAGGGCGGCCAGTGTGCAGCCCCCAGGACCAGAGTCCTTTGCGGGGGCTGTCCTGTGTGCTGCTGGGCCAGGGCCGTCGCAGCTCCCCAGGGACGCAGAATGTCTCCTCCTCACCCGGGAGCAGAAGCTTCCCGAAGAACAGCCGCCTGGGGGAATGTGGGTCCATGCTCGCCACTCCTGCCAGCTTTCCAAGAGAAACCGAAGTTTCTGTGTAGAAAGAATCTCTTGACCTTGGGTTTGCAGCTGCAGGGACCCCACTTGCCCCTCAAGGGTCAGCTCAGACTGGGAGTCACCAGTGTCTGGTCTTGACCTGGGGGTGGGGGGAGGGCGGGGACCCAGCAGGGGCTCGGCAGAAGCCCTGACAGCCTGGTCCCCCCGCAGCACGGTGGACGACAACCCCGACTTCGACAACCTGGACATCGTGGCCCGGGACGAGGAGGAGAGGTACTTCGACGAGGAGGAGCCCGAGGACGCCCCCAGCCCGGAGCTGGACGGGGACTGACGGCCCAGTGCCCGCCCCAGCAGGGCAGCTGGCTGCAGGCTGACTCAGTGACCGTGGGGGGCCGGTCCGGCTCACTGACGGTCCCTCGGTCCCTCGTCTCCGCTTCTGAGGTTCCCTCCCGGCCGCCCCTCCCTCCCCATCGGCCTGCGTCCATCTTTATCTGGCTGGCGCTGGGCTCTCGCCAGCCGTGGGCTCTTCTCCCTGCCGCCCTCCGCGTCTCCGCCTCCCCTCACTCAGCCTTTCTCTTTCTCCCGTCGCGTCTGTCCCCTGTGCCCCCCTGCCTGGCTCGGCCTCTGCCCTGCCATGAGGCAGGAGGCGCAGCAGCCTCGCCTGCCAGCCAGAGGGCCCCTGGTGCCCAAAGCTGCCCGGCTCCACCGGTGCCCAGCTCAGGGTCGGGCTGCCCAGGGGCCCTCCGCCGTTCTCTGTCTCGCCACCTCTGTGGAGGTCACCTCTCGGCCGCCTGTCAGTTCCCGTCTCTCCCTGGCCTCACGTCTGGGCCTGTGGGTCTTCCCACAGGTTCGTTTCCATCTCTCTGGGCCCTTCCTGACCCCTGTGCATCTCCCAGCCTTTGACTGGGTTCCACCCGCTCCGTGGCTGCCGAGTCCTGTGGCCTGCACCCCTGGCAGGGCCACTGTGCTCACCTCTCCCTCAGGGAGGGGTGCGCAGGGCGCCACGGGGCTCCTGGGCCGCCAGCTTGGGTGGGGGAGAGGGGGCGACTGTCTTCCCAGCCCCACCGCCCCCTCGGCCCAGTAGCAATTTTCCTTTCCTTCACTTCCTCCGCCTCCCTCCTGTTTACACTCCCCAAATACAGGCTGTTATCATGGGTCCTGAGTCATCCCTCACACAGCCTGCCCCAGCGCCCTGCCCCCAGCTGGCCACAGGACCCGCCCCAGCGAGCCCCCTGCCGCCCCAGGCTAATGGGAGCCAGATGGCCGCCTGGTGACTCAGCCGCGGCGTGTGGGAACCCAGGCGTCGCGCCTCCCCATGCCCCCACACCCAGCTCCTGCTCCCCCAGTAGACAGAGAAAGGGCCACCCCGGGAGAGTGTGGTCAGAGGGGCCGCCTGGGGATCCTGGTCCTAGAAGATGGGATGGTGGCACCCTGCCCAGGCCAGCCGGGGGAGCCTCGAGATCGCCCCCCAGGCGTGTAGCCCAGACCTAGAGGGGAGACCCAGAGGCCTGCTGGGGCCAGGGCACTTAACCAAGGGCCTCAGCTCTGCCCTCCGGGTCAGCCAGAATCGGAGCCAGACAGAAAGTGAGCGCTGGACGGGGGCCGAGGGCCTCCGCGGAGACTGTTAGGCAGTGAAAGTCTGGGGGCCCGGGCTGTCTGGCCCCCCGCCAGGCCAGTGCCCGCCTGACTGCAGGTGCTGTGAGCCGGGGGCTGGCTCCACCTCGCAGGTGGGTGGGGGGAGGCCTTCAGTGCTGGGACCAGGTCTAGAAGCCCTCGAGGCCTGTCAGGTGACAGGGTGGCGGTGCGGACAGGCCTCCTCGGGCAGGGCGGAGAGAAGCTGGTGCTGAGGATCGGGCCGGCTGCCCAGGGCTCGGGGACCCCCGCTGTTGGTGCCATTCTGCACACAGTGGGGAGTGGATCCCTTGGCCAGAAGTCACTGAGCTGCTGTCACGACAACCTGCGCCTCAGTCTCCCGGGGGCCCAAGGTCAGGTGGGGTGGGGAGACGGGGTGCTCGTGGTGTGTGTCCAGTGGGTGCTGGTGGGCGCGACAGACGACGCTGGCGGGCAGCGGCCCCTGGGACGAGCAGACGCCTCCGGTCTTGGCATTTGCTCATTAGACTTGAGATACACTTTGCCATACCTGAATCTGTTATATAATAAAAAACAAAAAAGGGGTGAGAGACAGCGACTGAGTGAGCACTGGGGTGAGTCAGATGGTGGAGACTGGAGCGTCTGTAGCTGAGACGAGGCGGGGCCTGTCCAGAGGCCCGGTGAGGGACACACCCCCGCCAGTAGCAGCCTGCGAGCCACCGGGGCCCCCAGGTGCCCCCCGTTCTGGGCCTGGGGTGGGCGGAGAGGCTGAGTCAAGGAGGGAGGCCCCGCTGGGGGAGCCCCTCCTGGGCATCCGGCCCCCACCCCACCCCCGTGTCTCCTGTCTGTGCTCCTGGCCGCTGTCCCCCCACGTCTGACACCTCTGTGTGCCCTGCCCAAGCCAGAGTGACTCCCTGCACCCCCCCTCGCCCCCCCATTCCGCTGCACGCCATTCTCCCCACCTCTCTCCCCACCTCGTCAGCTCCCCTCTGTCTTCTCCCTCCTTTCCCAGGGTTGGGCCCCCTCGCCCCCCGCCCCCGCCCTCCTTGTGATTCCCTCAGCTCAGCCTCTGTGCTGGCCCCGGCTGGGAAGCCTGCTTCCCAGGCCTTTCTCTGGGGAGTCTCCCTGCGGCCCTGCTCCTCCTCTTTGCCCTCATTTTTTCCAATCCTCCTGGCTGTCTCTCGGCCCCCCTCCCCCACGCCCCACTTCAGTCTAGCCCCTCTTCTGTCTCCCAGACCCTGGCAAGCCCGGCAGGGACGTCCAGGTCAGAGGTTCACCAGTCGCCCGGGGAGCCCAGGGTGAGGGCCACTGCCTTGCCCCCGTTCACAAGAGGAGTAGGAGGGGGCAGCGAGGCTGTGGCCTGTCTGGCCAGAAGGAAGTGTCTGTGCTGTGGCCTGGTCACCCCCGCCCCCAGGACCTGCCCGGCTGCTGCCGCCCCCGGGCTGGGCCGAGTAAACACAGCCGCCGGCAGCTCGGGATATTTATACCCAGGCCGGGCGCAGGTCCAGTGCCCACCGCAGCCCCTGCCCTGCCCTGCCCGCCACAGCCAGCCCTGGCCAGCGTGGCACCAGCCAGCAAGGGGACGCTGTAGCCTCCGCCCGGCACAGAGGCCACGACGCACGTCCCAGCACGGGGTGCCAGTGGCTTCAGTGGGGACGCGCTCCCCTGAACACACCAGCCACACCGGGGGTGACACAGGCCCACACGCCCCGTGTGGGCCACCTGACAGGCCCACCAAGGCTCCAGCCCCAGCCCGCGGGACGTGGACATGCCACACCGGGAGGTGACGCCGGACCGCGTCCGCGGCAGGCCCGCCGGCGCCCACGCGTCACGGCCACCTAGAAACCACAAGCTCACTGAGGACGAGCAGGTTTACCCCCGAGAAGAGCCACGAAGAGGTGGAGGGAGAAATTAGGAACACGGCGCGTCCCAGAGAGGTGCCCACTGGCGCGCAGGTGGGCCGAGCCGGGCAGAGGCCGCCGCCGGGCGCTGGCCAGCCTGGCAGCAGAAGGCAGCCGCCGTCACACCAAACAGGGCCCGTCGGCGCCGCCGGGGCTGCACGGGCGCGGGGCGCCCCTCAGAGCCCCCCAGGCCCACGCGGCCCGGGCTCCCGGCGGAAGCTGGAGGCCCACCAGGCCCCGCTCCCGCGGTCCTGGGCACACGCAGTGACAGACACAAGACGCCCCCGCCGTGGAAGTCCCGGGGTGCAGGGGAAGGGGCCTTCCTCCCTGGCCTCATCCCCCACCTCGCTCCTGACCCAGGTCCCCGGCCTGTCTGGGGGAGGGGCAGGAAGGCCTGAGCTGGCCTCCCCCGGCCTCGCTTCCTGCCCCGTGGGGGCCCGACGGGAAGCTGGGGCTCCAGCCGGAACCCAGGCTCCCCCCACGACTTCCCTCCCAGCCTGGGCTGCCTACAGAGAGGCGGGGGAAGGGTGCAGGGCGCCCCAAACCCCCTGTCCCGCCCAGCGGTTGGCTGCGGGCCGGGGCTGACTTGTCCCAACTGGACCTGGCCACCCAGCAGAGCCGGGGTGCCAGGGTGGCAGCGCAGCGCAGGAGGCCCGGGAAGGTGCTGAACCTGCAAGTTTCCCTTCCCGGAGCAGCCGCCAGCTCACCCATGGCCCTGGGCAGGTGGGCGGGTGTGTCACGAGGGCGGGGCGGGGGCGGGGCAGCCCATGTGCCCCACCGGCCAGGACTTGTCCTGGGGCCTCTGTGGGCACGCCTGGGCGTGTGAGGACCCCGACCTGTGGAGGGGGCGCGCGTCTGGGTGTGTGGGAGCCTCTCGTCCGGGATGTGACAGGGTGTCTGGGTGTGCCGGGGTCAGCCCCAGTCTGTCAGGCCCTGGGGGACTCCCCGGGCCTGAGACAGCAGACGGGGTGGGCACGACCCACCGGCGGCGTGTGTGACCGGGATGTGTCAGATCTCCGTGTGTGGTGTGGGCCTGGGTGGGCCTGTGGCGTGCCGGGCCGTGTGCGTGCGCACCAGGCCTGTTTGGGACCGTGACCCCGTGGAGGATGTTTGTGTAACTGCTGGTGGGACCCAGCCAGGGCCTGTTTCACTTCCTGACGGGGCCGAGGTGTGTGTGTGCGGGGTGACACGGCTCCAGCCGAGTCTAGCGTGTGGCGCTCCTGACACGGCCTTCGGAATGTACCTGCCCGGCCATGCTTTGCCACGGCCCCGCGGAAGTCTGCCTGTCTGCCGCGGTGAGGCCTGAGGGGCCCGTGTGACCCTGGCAGCTCTGCGGGGGGAGGGGGCACAGCCCACTCGGAGCCTCCCGTGCCGTCCTGCGTCGTCGGGGTCTCGGGGGTGTCTGCACCCTGGAGGCTGTGGTGTTGGTGACGTGTCCTTGCGTGTGAGTCCCGCGCACCTACCCCGACCCCTCCTCCAGACTCAGCGCAGAGGGAATGACCCCATTTCCACGCCGAGGCCGGACCGGGGCCCCCAGAACCCACTCACCCAAGCCGAGCCATGAAGGAAGCTCAGCGCTGGGCCCATCCGCACACACCCCAGCCGGGCACCCACTGGGCCGGGCAGCAGGGCAGCGGCCCCACAAGGGGAACACACGCCAGGGAAAGGGAAGCTGACGACTGGAAGAAGCGGCGGGAGACAATTCACAACAGACCACAGCTGCCAGGGAAGCCACCCTGGCTCCGGCCACTGTCGCCTCTCACGCGGGCGACTGGTCTCCAGCACTGGCCCGCCCCTCACCCATCGGGCTGAGGGCCCCTCTGAGCTCACACCCCTCCTCTGTTCAGAACCTTCATGGCTCCTGTCTCCTTCAGAGAACAAGTTCTCACAGGTTCCCACAGGCCTGGTGTGGCCTGAGACGCACGACCAGCACCTCTGCTTTCTAGCTGTGTGACCTGAACAAGTAGTGGAACCTCTCCGGGCGTCCACGGGAAAGGTCTGCAGAGGGCGCGTGACAGATGGTAAATATCGTTGGCTCTGCATAGCTTCTACCTAACCCGGCACCGGTAGCACTAAAACAGCCATAGACGAGATGCAAATGCGCGAGAGAGCGTGGCTATGCTCCAATAACACTTTATTTACAGAGACAGGCAGCAGGCCGTCGTTCGCCAACCCCTGCTCTGCCGGGTTGTGGGGAGAATGCCGTGAGCTAGTAGATTCATACCTGGCATGGAGAATTGTTATTACTGCTCTGGCCTGCGAGTGTTAGGGATCTGACTCAGCTCCCAGCGCCCTCCCCTTGCCCGTTCCCTCCCAACCACACTGGCCTCCAGCTCACTGTGTAGCTCACCCCAGTTTCATCCTCAGCTCCAAGCCTTTGCCTTTGCCTCCCTCCTACCGAGAACACTTTCCTCCACCCTCCCCGCACAGGGCTTTCCTTCTCGGCTTCCGGCCAGTCTCAAACGCCGCCTCCTCCAGGAAGCCTGCCCTCTTTCCCAGAGCCACCTCTCACTCTTCGCCCATCCCCTGTCTTCCTGCCACCTACCGAGTCTGTCTCCTACCCAGATAGTAGGTCCTGGTGGGCAGGAACTTTATCCTTGAGCTCTGGGCTGCTTCATCTTGACAGTGGGTGTTAGCAGAGCCCTTATGTCTTCGTTATGGCGATTAAATTAGTTATAGAAGGCACTAGGAACGGGGCCAACGTGCTCAATAAATAGACCTACCTAGCGTTCAGCACAGATCCCCTGCACCTGGACCAGAACCTGCGCGACCCACGGGCCCAGTGTTTGCCTCACCAGGGCAAAGTGGACGGTGGAGAGACAGGAGGAGGCAGAGAGGGGCGGATGTTCAGAGCAAACGGTCTTCCGGGAGGCCCCAGCCAGGCGCTCAATGACACGGAGACCCCAGTCCTCTCTCCACCTTTAATGGGCCCCCCCAGGTGGGTTGGGGGACTGTGTCCTTAAATAAACCCCCAGCACGGGGGGCGGGGCGGGGCCTGTGGGCGGGGCCTGCGGCGGGGCGGGGCCTCAGCTGCACTTGCAGGAGCGCACGATCATGTTGGTCAGCTGCTCCACCTTGGCCTTGCGGCCCACGTAGTACACGATGGGCAGCGGCTCCAGCACCTGCGGCACGCAGCACGGCGCTGCCGACGCGCCCGGGTTGTGCTGGTTGTACAGAGCCAGGACCTGCGGGTGGACAGCAGGTGGGTCAGGGCGGCGTGGCGGAAGGGAGCCCTCCTGCCCGCGCCGGACATCGGCCGACGTCCGTCTTATCCCAGCCGGACCTCCTCGGCCTGGCCTCGCCCACTCTCCAGTCTTGCCGCGTACGTCAGTCTTTGTCTTTCTCTGCCCGTCCTCCCTGGCCCTCGACCAGTCTGTGACCTGCCCTTTCCTCTCTCCTTTGGTCTCTCTGTTCCATCTCCCTGCATCTCCCACCCGGTCACGGTCTCCTGGTCCCCCACTCGCTCCATCTCCCTCTGCCTCCCAGGCCGTTTCCCCCCCATTTTCTCAATACATCTATGACTTCACCCCTCCCCTCCCGGGGTGGGGGAGGTGCACCTTGCTGTACTGTGTGTCCAGGCTCCAGATGTAGGGGCAGGGCCCCAGGCAGAAGTTGGCGTGGTAGCCCTTGGGCTCGTGGATCCACTTCCAGCCCAGGTCCTTGCGGAAGTCGATGTACAGCTGCCGCACACAGCAGTTCTTTTCTGTGGAGCTGCAGGACAGGGCAGAGCCCAGGTCAGGAGGTCGCGGGGCGCCCTGGGGCCGGCAGGCCTCCCGGTGTGTGTGTGTTTCACCCTGACTTGCCACCCAGCACCCGTGGTGATAATAACGACAGCAATCATAATAATAACAATCGCTCTGATAACACATCTCCTCCAGGCGAGCGCCGCGTTTAGAGCATCATCATAAGCATGACCTCATGCGATACTCAAAACAAACCTTGAGAAGTCAAGTGACCGCCCTCGGGGGAGGCTGAATAAATCGTGGCCTATCACACACTGGAACATAAAAAACAAAGTACACCCCCACGTGTTCCAGTGTGTTCTATGGGGGCAACACATGCTTGTGCTGCTACTGTGTCTGCTGGGGTCTCAGCAGAAGCCAAACAGACAAGTCCCTGCACTCAGGGGTGCCCCTCAAAGTCCTGTCCGCACCCCCAAACGTGACTCCACCTTAGGGCAATCGCCTGCATCTCCCCAAACACCACAAGGTGCTCGTAGTTGTGGCTGATCTTGAGCCCCGTCTCGCCCACCTCGGGATGCCACGGGGCCTCCTCCCTGCCCCTAAAACACGGTCACCGGGCCTTTGTCCTGCTGACCCCTCTGCCTGGTGTGTTTCATTCCCAGACAGCCCACTCTGGCTATCCACTCTGGCTATCCACTCTGGCTAGTCTCTTCACTTCATTTAAATGGATGTTCCCGTATCCTTCACCTACGGTGCTGCCTGGCGTGCAGCTTGTGCTCAGTAACTATCAGCGACAGAAAGGCCATTTCCTCAGAGTGCTTCCTGACCATCCACCCTTCCAAAAGGTCAAACCAGCGGCTAGATCCTATTCCGGCTGGATCCTGTTCCGAGTAGCAGTGACATTACAGGCTTGCAAAAGAATGCGGGCCCTCCCTGGTGGTGCAGGGGTTAAAGCGCAGCACTATGAAGCTGTCTGCAGCCACTGCAACCTGAGTTCGATCCCCAGCTCTGGGCTGACCCACAGGGCGCGGCAGACCTCTCCCATCTCCCTGCTGCTCCCCTCAGCAGTGTACTTCGTCACTCTGTCTACTTTGCTCCCCACTCTGTCTCTGGGGAATCCTCTCACCCCCTGCACCTCTGGCCTGTAGCCCAGTTCTTTTATAAATGAATGAATAAATGATATTTAAAAAAGAGAAAGAATATGAAAATTACCTTATTTGAAGTGGGAAAATATCATTTAAAAAAATATTTATTTGGGGCCTCCCTGATGGCCTAGGGTCTCAGTGATAACACCTCTACAGCCTGAGTTTGATCCCCGCCCCGGAGCTGACCCACATGGCGCGGCAGACCTCTCCTGTCTCGCCCGCTGCTCCCCTCAGCAGTACATTTCATAAGTCAGCCTGCTCTGCTCCCCACTGTGTCTGATGAATCCCCTGCACTCTGGCCTCCACCCCAGTTCTTCTACACAAAACTAAAATTCTTAAATAAATAAATATTTATTTGTACATGCATGCATACACATCCTACATACTGGGGTGTAGGCCAGAAGTGGGGTGGGGAGGAGAGTAAGGGGATTCATCAGAGAAAAAGTAAGGAACAGAACAGGCAGATCTACAGAAACCCACTGCTGAGGGGAGCCACGGGGAGGCAGGAGAGGCCTGCCGCGCCCTGTGGGTCACTGCCTGGCTGGGGATCGAACTCGTGCTGCAGTGGCTGGCGGTAGCTTGATAGCGCTGAGACTTGAATTTGCACCACCAGGGAGGCCAGAAAAAAAATCTTAGTAACTGTTAAATCTGGATGACAGTTCATGGGCATCCAGTCTACTCTGTTGGTTTGTCAACATTTGAAATTTTCCATAATGAAAAATTTTTCATCAGAATGGGAAAGAGTCCCTGGTCACCACCAACCCTAACCCTCCTTTCCTTTCTCTCCCCATCTTTACAACCCCAGAAACCTCACTGCGTTTATAGTTGGGTTTTTGGGGTCTGTTTATTTTATATTTGAAAAGGACAGGCGTCTTAGGGACAAGAGAACAGAAACCACAGGCCCCTGTGCGATACAGGTGGGCACAGACCTGCTGTCCCTTTCAAGGCGAAAGGTTTGTTAGGGAAGGTGCCTCCGTGGACACGGGGGACAGTCTTGGCACAAGCCCAGCCTAGTGGCCAGTAATTTTTTTTTTAAAGATTTATTTATTTATGCACACGGAACTGGGGTACAGGCCCAGATGGGCAGGGCCGGTGAGAGGACTCACCAGAGACCAAGTGGGGAGCAGAACAGGCACATCGAGGAAGTCCACTGCTGAGGGGAGCCTCGGGGAGACAGGAGCGGTCTGCTGCCCCCGTGGGTCACATCCGGGGCGGGGATCGAACTCACGCTGAAGCAGCTGTGGCTGCAGTGCTGCGCTTTAACCCGCTGCGCCACCAGGGAGGGCCCGGCCAGTGGTGTTTTAAGTATTGAGCTTTGTTGCAATGTCCACTATGTAAACACCCATGTAGGCGAAGCGCTTGAGACCACGTTTCTATACATCACTCCTTCCAACTCTTTTTCCCTCCGAGTGGCAACATGTCCTCTCTCCTGTGGATGAATGGCATTGTGTGGCTGGACCGCATCTCACTGACCGCATCTCACTGACCACACCCTTTTCTCGTGGGCACTTGGGGTGCTTCAATGTCCTGGTTATTGTAAACAGTGCTGCTGTCCACACGGTAGGGGATACAGTTTTTTGAGTTGATGGTTTCACGTTCCTTGAATTTATGCTCAAGAGTGGGACTGCTGGGGGATCCCTGGTGGCCTAGGGGTGACGTCTCATTGCTATCCCTGCTATGTCCCTGAGTTCGATCCCCGGCCAGGGAGCTGACCCACAAGGCACAGCAGACCTCTCCTGACCCGCCCAATGCTCCCCTCAGAAGTGCATTTCGTCGATCTACCTGTTCTGCTCCCCACTCTGTCTCTGGTGAATCCTCTCACTGCCCCCCGCATCTCTGACCTGTACCCCAGCTCTGTATGCATAAGTAAATAATTTTTTTTTTTAAGTAAAGTGAATCCAGATCACTTTCTGTGATTCATTCAACAGAATGAATCAATTCATTTCGGGTTTTGAGGTGGGTTTTATCATTCCTCCCGCTTGAAGGATGAAGAAATGGACCCTCAGAGAAACGGGGACACTGCCTGTGCACATGTGGGGGTCGTGACGAAGTTCACAGCTGGCTCTGTGCCACCCCAGAGCCCATGGTCTCGGCCGCCCAGCCTCCGGGGCCCACTCCAGGAGGCGAGAAAGGCCCTGGTGCCTGACCCAAGGGCTTCCCAGCTCTAAGAGGGAGTCAGGAAACGGACCCCTGTAGCTGAGCCTGGGCCCTCCCAATCTGCTTGGACCCCAGTTTCCACATCAAAGATGAGTGGGTTAGAGTTTCAAACTAAGTGTGTTCACCTGCTGGCCTTGGAGGGGAGAGGAAGTCCCCTCAGGGAGAGCCTGAGCCTAGATGGCACAGGGACATTTTCTAGGGACAGATGCCCTTTGGCATCTCAGGGTTTGGGGGTCAGGGGAGCCCTGGACTCCCCCAAGAGGAAGAACCACTGTCCAGAATAATTTTAACGTCCCATCAGACAGTCTGGGGCGCCCCAGTTGGAATATCTGAACAGTCTGTGTTCTGTTACCCACCTCTGCAGTTCTCTCCTGCAGCCTCGGCACCAGCTGCAGCATGGATGGAAGTGGTGGGAATGCGGATCCTAGGGCACACCCCAGAATCACCTGGTCAGAAACTGGGGGTGGGGACCATGGTCACATGTCACAAGGCCTCCAGGTGATCCACTGCAGCTAAATTCGGTCCCCTGCCAGGGAGCTGGCCCACACGGCACAGCAGACCTCCCCTGTCTCCCCGCTGCTCCCCTCAGCAGTGTACGTCATCAGTCTGCCTGTTCTGCTCCCCACTCTGTCTCTGGTGAAGACTCTCACCCCCTGCACTCCTGGCTTACACTCCAGTTCTTGTATGCATCAATAAATACATCTTTTTTTTTGCTTTAAGATTTATTTACTTGTGCATATAGAACTGGGGTACAGACCAGAGGTGCAGGGGCGGTGAGAGGATTCACCAGAGACAGAGTGGGGAGCAGAACAGGCCGCCTGACGAAGTCCACTGCTGAGGGGATCAGCGGGCGGGTCAGGAGAGGTCTGTTGCACCATATGGTCACCTCCGGGGCAGGCGGGGACCGAACTCATGCTGAAGTATCTTTAGCTTCTTAGTGCTGCGCTTTAACCCGCTGCGCCACCAGGGAGGGCCCTGAATACATCTTTTTTTTTAATGTTAAAAACAGAACTACCACTCCTAGGTATCTGCTTGCCCAAAGAATGCAAAAACTCTGATCTGAAGAGACATGTACACTCCTGTGCTCAGCGCAGCACCATTTACCAGGGCTCAGTGACAGGTGAGAGGATTAGGGAGACACAGTGTGTGTCTAGACAGCGGAATATCACTCAGCTATAAAAAAGATAAAATTGTCATTTGCGACAACCTGGATGGAACTGGAGGGGAAGACGGCAAACGACACTGAGTATGGAGGGAGACAAACGGCGGAAGGTGTCACTTAGCTGTGGGACAGAGGACAGCAAAGGGTCAGACAAAACCAAGCGAGTACAGATCCTATAGATGTGCTGTGGGCTTGAGGCTACCAAGAGGCAGAGAGCGTGACATACGCGTGACCCTACACATAGTTCATGTACTGCTCTAAGCCGGTGTTCTCTCGACTCAAAATTTTAATTAGATTGAAAAGAGAATACGCAGTGGAGGGCAAAGTCAGATTTTCGCTCTAAACTCACAACATCTTAACTCTGAATTTAAGCATTCCAGCAACCTAAGCTCTCAACTTTGTTTTTGTTTTTTGCATAGAAGAGCGAGGGTGTGTGGCCCTCCCTGGTGGCGCAACAGGTTAGGACGCAGCACTGCAAGCAAGTTTCAGTCGCTTTGGTGCGAGTTCGATCCCCCGCCCCAGAGCTGACCCACACGGCGCCGCAGACCTCTCCTGTCTCCCGCTGCTCCCCTCAGCAGTGTGCTTCGTCAGTCGGCCTGTTCTGCTCCCCACTCTGTCTCTGGTGAATCCTCTCACTGCCCCTGCACCTCTGGCCTGGGCCCCAGTTTTGTATGCAATAAATAAATCTTTTTAAAAATTAAAATAATAGAGGCCCTCCCTGGTGGCGCAGTGGGTTAAAGCACTGCACTGAGAAACAAAAGCCACTTCCGCATGAGTTCGATCCCCG